AAGAAATCAAAGAGAAAGCTAAAACTGCAAAAAAGGGGAAAAAAGAAAAAAAGAAAGAAAAAAGAAATGGCTTCTGATCTTCTTCAAAGCAGTTACAAATAGAATTATAAATTTACTTCTTGTTCTAAACTAATGTCGCTTTCCTTTCTGTAATCTATCCTGTAATCATCAAAACCATAAATCATAAATTCATCTCTCTGGTTTTATGCAAAAAGGTCATAATCCAGTATTCCAGTCAATTGTAAACATAGGTATTGTCTTTTCTCTGATTAAAGTCAATTTGGTCATCGCAGTGAGTTCTATCATCTTTATCAACTACTCCTCCATATTTACAAATTTTCCATCTCGATGAATATAATAACTTGCAATTATCATCTACAAAAACAGAGTTCCATTATTTTTTTCAAACTATTTCTCATCAGTCCCAAAAGAAAGACCTCTGGTTTCAAGTGTATATTAACCTTCAAAAGCCTATGAATCAGCATATGTATCTGAATCCAAAATTTTCTAGCTTTTTTACATGTTCACAAAACATGATAAAATGTTCCTAATTATTCTTGACATTTCTAACATGAATATGAAGTACGTTAATACATTCTAGACCACTTCTCTGGTGACAAATAGCAATGGTACATCATTTTATAAAAATTCTCTTTAAGATTATAAAATATAGTCTTTGTCTTACAATATATTGCTTAATGACTGTTCAAAGTTAGGACAGATTTTAAAAAAGCTACTTATGACCCATCTTCAAAGTTGTGACTGCCAAATGGTCCAAGGTCACATGATTGCCTTTCAAGTTCTTGGCAATAAACTCATATTTATAATTGGTTGCAGTGTCTGATAGTCATGTGCCCACAATTTGTGACTTTTTTTGTTGTTTTCCAACAGAAGTATGGATATGCTACATTTGCTTAACCACATGATCCGCTTAAGAACCATTATAAAAACGGTCATAGCATCAAGTCAGGTCACATGACTTATGAACAAAATTCTTGCTTCAACTGTGTATGTATATTGAGGACTACCTATAATATAATTTTCAATTCTTTCAATCACATATTTTCCCATTGTTCAATTTGTATATTATATCCAAAATTGTTAGATCACATTATCAGACTTTTTATCACTTGTTTTTCTTTTCTTTCAAACTCTAATACAAGTTTATACATTTTAGCAATAACATGTTCACCATTTGCACATAATTCAATCTCAAACTCAGTGTTACAATGTTCAAAACCATATACTCTTTTTGTCTACTTTAAACTTTTCTCATAACAATAAGAAAAACACTGGCAATTATGTCCCTTTGTCACTTGTTCCCCTTGATAAAATTCTACTATCTCAGAATTAGACATTTATGATAGCCTATTATTTCTCATCTTTAAAATGTTTCTTGTGCTGAGATCCAAAAAATATGTTTTCAGGTAAAATCTGAGTTTATTTATACTTAATTGCAAATTTCTTTAATTCTTCCCCTTTTCTCTTAATATCATCCAAAATAGTTTGTTTTCCTTGCTTCTCCTTTCTGAGTTCATGATTTTATCATATAAAAAAAATACCTTTGATTAAAGTTTTACTTGCATCCCATTATTTAATCAGCACAGTATCTTAGTATGTATTTTAACTTGTTTTTACATGTTAATCCTCCATGGTTGCATTTTTATGTAACAATATTTCAGTTATATTCCATCTAAAAAACTGGGTATGTTTTTATAAATCACACTCAGAGGATCACGATTCCCCCAAAAAATGATTCTTTGGTAATATTTCTTCCTTAACATCCAAATTCTTCTAAACCCTTCGAAATACCTATTCTGGAAAAAGAATTTTGTCTTTCAGAAAAATAGTTGTATGCTCTTGAATTGCCATTTTTCTATCTCCGTATGTCTATAAGCCCCAAATTGTCCATTAATCAGAGATAACTTTTAGTAATTTAGTAATTTTAATTTTTCCTCAAAAGTTCTATCTAGTTATGGGAAGGAAGGAGTACTCTTAAGGTTTGAAAAACATCATTTAAAGTTTCCACAATGTCCAAGAAGAATAAAATAATTCACTTTGTAGGAAGCCCTCCCTCCAGAAGAATGAAATATTTTGGGGAATATTAAAAGAAGCAGAATATTATATTTCCCCAAAGTGAGAAATGGAGAAACATGTTCTTAAGGGAGGCAGAAACTAGCCCGTTTCCCTGCCCCAAGCAGAAACTGAGGAGGCCAGCTTTTAGAAATACATATTTGGAAATCCATTCAGAAAGACAGGGTCAAGATAGAAACTCAGATAAGCTACAAACAAAAGTTTGATTAGCTCAGACAAATACCTAGGATTTACATTTCCCCTTTTGCCTATAGAGCCAGCCATGACCCCATAGGAATTTGTTAACAGCCAATAGAATATTAAAGGATATGTTCTGGAACAGGAAACTCAAATACAAAGCCCAAGGAAGGTATAAAACCCACCCATCCTCAACTCCATTTTGTTAGCTGCCCAGAATCACATGTGGTTTGGTGGTTCTGCTTCATCAATAAAGAGAATCTTTCTTTCCAATCAACCTCCAGCCTCCATTTTGTTTCCAGTGCCTTTCTCCCGGCTTGGAACTGAACCAAATGGATTTTCCTTCCAACAACTTCATAAACCTTTTCCAGATGATTACATGGGAAATAGCATTAAAACATTCAGTTAAGAAAATGTTAATAACCCCCCAACAGTAATCCTCAAGTCCAGCTTGTTGTTTGAAAAAGGATCCTAGAATTAATAGAAGACAAGAGACCTTAACAACGAACAGCCTGAGATTTCACACTGGTGCTTGCTTCTGTCAGAAACACTGCCTCAGTGTTGCATTGTGTTTATTTTTCTCTTCTTTCAACTTTCCCTCATGCTCTTTGTTTCTAATTTTTCACTTGAATTGATCTTTGACTTCTGTTTAAAAAAAAAATCACAGATTTTTTGGCCCACAGAACGGGCCATGTTTCATTATCCTAAATTAAAAGATGCATATCTGCTGCTGGTTGTACTACTTCATTGTAAATTGATTGCAGGGAACCTTTTCATGTGTAGGAAGCAGCTTCCTCTTCTTTTCTCAATACCAATCAACCAGGGGAGCTGTAAGGTCACCTCAACAAGTTGTGCTTCTTGAGATGGATTTTGTACTGAAGTACCTGCGCGCTCCCGAACATGATGCAATGTTTAAATCATCCTATATATTAAGACAATACATCTCGGTATGGATTATTTGGTAGTAAAATATTAATAGGGCACTTTACTGCTATTGATATTATCCCTCCCCATTTCTTTGTAAACTGCCATGCCCTCCCTGCTGGTGTCTGAGTTTCACCGCTTGCTTCTATAAACATCTTCATTGCAATGAATGAACTCTCTCTCCAGGCCAACAAAATTACAGCAATAGCAAATCTGTCCTGGGGTTATTATCTAGTTTATGCTATGAGGATAGCTTCTCCCACTATATTTTTGAAAGCTGTCTTGGAAAGAAAAAAAGAAATCAATAAACAATCACCTTGATTTATATAGAAATTTGCAAACGCCTTCCTGGACTCCATAAAAGGCAACAGTCTTTTTTTTTTTTAAATAAAGTCATTATTGGAATATGGAGTTCTGCAGTACTACCTTCCTCTTGTCATGCTGTCGTCGATGCAGAGATGCCATAAGGGACACTTTTTTATTGTTCATCAACCAAATCCAGAAAATTAAAAATGGCATTATTTGGAATACAAGCAGCATTTAGAGGTCAATATTAAATTAGCAATGAAATCTCAGCCTTCTAGGGCAATGCCATTCCTCTTCATTTAAAATAGAAATGATTGCTTCTGTTCTACTCCAAGCAAAAGTGAACAAAAGGCAAAAGGAGCTGGGCTCTGAAACAGCCCAGCTGCAACTATAAACTTTCCTTCAATTTTATTTTGCAAAATCATCCAGAATTGACTGTATTTCATAGAGAGGACTTTAAATTATGTTATGTCAGCCTTTCTAGAGTACATTTGAGGGTTGTAATCAAATAGGTATATTTCACTCTGCCTGGTGGTAATATCCAATTAGCTTCTTAGGGTTCTGTCCAAGAGTTTTGGAGAAATTGGAAAAATGATGCAACAACCTTTAGTAATTAATTCTAAGATAACTTAAGTAACAAGTAGTATGGTTTTATTGTTCATTTCCCCAAAGGCATAAAATGGTACAAGAAAAAAAAAAAGCATTCAATTTCTGGTGCTACCTGCCCGATTTTTATTCTAGCAAGTCACTGGAAAACTAAACAAGTATCTTCATGGATCAAAGGGATTTAAAAGGATGGAAAAATCAGCATTAGCTGAAAAATTAATAGCAGAGAATCTCTTTAATTTTGTTTTACTGCACATTTGATCTCAATTCCTTCATTACATTATCAAAATAATTTGTAACGGATAATCTCTGTATCAATCCATTTGCACAGAAATATTACAACTTTATTGCTTTTTAAGATGACAAATGCATTTTCATACATTTCAAATTACTTGTGTGTTTTGTTTGGCTCCTATGTATCTTTTGTGTTTTTGTTTTGTTAAAATGCCGCCATAAAGGTACAAGATTTCTTGATTTCTAGCCCACATTAAAGGAGCTGTAGGAGATAAATGGAAATACATTAGATTTCCCCTCCCTAATTATTAAGTTCAGCATTTCTGGAAAACTGTATTAATATTGTGCAGCAAGACAGAATGGCTCAAGAAGCTGGACTACATATCCCAATACAAATAGCCTTCCAAAAATTTACATGAGAACCACCCAACCCCCGCTCCCTTTCCTGTCCCTCCTAGCTTTCCTTGCCTGTCAACCACATCACAGTTGCCTTGAAGATCTCAGGGAAAGGAAGCTTGCTTGCTTCTCTTCATTTTGCATATTTTTTATTTAACAAAATTCCAAATTCTCCTGTCCAGGGACACACCAGCTATACTACTGGATAAATGTTCTCTCTATCCACAACCTAAGCTACAACAAAAAATCCACAGTGCAAAATGTAAAGGAGGACTATGAGTATCTTCTTTATTCAAAGGCAATCAGTTCTTGCAATCTGGGGCAGCAGGTTCTGGTAAATCTGATTCTCCTTCTTGCCAGAAGTGTTAGAACTGCAACTCAGAACTCCCAGAGGTGCTGCCCAACATCTTAGAAGATAACCAGCTTGGGCAAGACTGCACTCAATATCAGAAAACTGTCTATTATTTAACAGTTCTTCCTTTCAGGGTCTTCCTGCCTGGGCGTCTTGAGAGATTCAGAGTTGAAATGCAGGATAAGCTTCCTTTTTCTGATAGGAATCTTGGCATCATCCTTTAATGGCTCCCATATCTACAATTTCCATAGCAAAATTTAGTAAGCAACTACTGGAAGAGTAGAGTGTAGCACTTATGCACAGCCTCACACTGGAGAAAATTTAGGAACCAGTCCCTAACCAAATGTTGCAAACTCCAGCTCTTAAAAGCTCCAGCCAACAATAAGCATTCAGCAACAAGGAGAGATTCACAAAGCCCAACCCTTGCTTTGGGAGGAAGCAACTTTCTTTGAAACCTCACGTTTTGGAGCAAGTGCCAGCTGGTTCTCTAGATTTGCATCATCCCTTTCAGATAGTTAGGCAAACAATGTATCTTGCTTTTTGGCACTGTTAGGGATATTTCCATAGAAAATCTTATGAAGTGGAACATCTCTTAATCTAACAGTTGTTATACAATAGCCAAGAGATAGGTGTGAGTTTTGTTTCATTATGTAATTCCTCCTCTGAAGTTCTGCAATCTTCTTGACTTCCCTTATTTCCATTACAACCCAAGGGTCTACATTGTGAGGCAATTCCTCCCATTGAGCTTTTTCACTAGTGATACTATCACCATCAATACAGGCCAATGTTATAGTGAATTTTTCCTTCCCCAAGAAAGGAAAATGGCCATTTTCCCCAATGGCCATTTGGGTGGTACTCTGCTTCCAGATATTGAACAGACAAAACACACAACCACAAATTTTAATATAGCCTTGAATTTTGCCCCTAAACTTTTTACTCTTTTACTCTTGCAGGATCTCAAAAACAGAGGCCATGGTTTTATCTTCTCTCCACCAAAAGGACAGCAAACTATTTATTCATTTGTTTCTTTGTTTGTTTGTTAAGCCGTAATACAACATCAAGCCCAATTGGGCATGTGCTAAATAACTTACAAAACATATTAGCTTTAGAGGAATACCCCCCTTCTATTAACAAAAGACATGTGTTCTGGTGGTAATGTTTGGCTCGCCACCTGCTCTCCTGCTGCAATCCTAAATGAACGCAAAAATATTTGACCTTCAATGAACATGCCACCTCCTTACCGTTTAATTGAAAAAAAAATCCACTTGGGAGACCTAAAGCGCCATTCCTTGTCTTTGTATATTCTTAGAACAAAAATATTAGAGCATCCACATTCTAATTTCTGCACTCATTCTTGTTTCCATAATTACTGTGGTATACAATTAGGTGGCTTTGGATCTTTCAGTGTTAATTAGAAAGCTAATAACTTGAAATGCTATAAATACTGAAGGGGGAAGGCTAACGTGCCAGGCAATTAATCCTTTGTCAGTTATTTTTTAAAATTCTTTTAACTGGGAGATTGGTTTTCACTCAGAGTATATAATATTGTTGGGAAATTAATGGCTTATTTTCCTGCTGCTACCATCTTGGAAATTCCAGCACATTTACATCTTCAAGAGACTTATTTGTTTTTAAATGACTCAGCCATTACCCAGTCAGCTTCCAACATATCCTGATAAAACCAGAAATGTCCCACCATGGCTAGTTCCTGCCAGGATAGATAGTACACAGACAGATGTACAAATGATTGAATTCCTGATTCTATGAGATAGCGTTGAGGCTAGTTATCTAAACATATTTCATTATAGGGGATAAATCTCATAGAACACAGTAGGCTTATTTTTTTCTCAATATGGATAAGACTGTCATAATTAGCAAACAGCCATTAGATACCATGGTCTTTGGAAATTGCATGGATAGGAGCCACAACCATCTTTAAACTCAAGTCTCAGTGGTATCTTACCTGCTGGGTAAGTACTGGTGAAATTATTTGATATCCAACTTAATTAGCTTGTTTCAACTGGAAGCCAGAGTTGGATGGAGAGAAATATCTATCTCAAAATCAGCTGCATTGATCTTTATAGAGACAGGGTTATGTTTTAGGAACTGACAAACCTGAAGGAATGTAATGCAGCCAAGAGTTTCATATCTAGAAATAACAGCAACTGCAGAAGGGGAGGCCCTGAGGGATGGTTGCTGCCTTTCTAACATTTACAGTTAGTTCTGACTTATATTCAATCCTGCCTCATGTTTTGAGCATTATTGGATGGAAGGAGAATTCTGAACAAAAATACCGACTTCCAATATGAGTACATTATATTACATGTATGTGTTCAAATTCCTTTCTTTCAATTGATGTTTTGAAGAAACACATCCCTTCTCCAAGACCAGTGATGACAAACCTATGACATGCATGTCAAAGCTGACATACCATGACATTTTGGAAGACACACTAGCAATTACCAACACCTGACAACTATTCTTGAAAGCATGCCTCATTCCTGCATGATTTTCAAAGGCTGCACAGGCCACATGAGAATGGAGTGTGTTCCTGTGTGGCCTCCAGAAATCATACAAGAATAGAATATGCTTTTTGTGGGATCTCCAGAAGCCTCCAAAGAACATTCCCTGAAGCTGCTTGTGTGACCCAGAGCTGCCTAGGGGTAAATCTGCCAACAGAAAGAGAACTGAAGCTAAGCAGCACATGGCAGATCCTGGGATCACACACAATTGCACTATATTTTAAAATAAGTGAGTATGTAAAGAATTCTTTTTTTCGGGGCAGAATGTGTGCGGTGTGTGTATGTATATGACATGCCATAGAGTCAAGTTAGGCATTTTCCAAATTTTTGACCTGCTGAGCTCAAAAGGTGTGTCATCACAGACTGGCGTGACAGGATAAGGTAAAGGTTCCCCTCGCACATATGTGCTAGTCATTCCTGACACTAGGGGGCGGTGCTCATCTCCGTTTCAAAGCTGAAGAACCAGCACTGTCCAAAGATGTCTCCATGGTCATGTGGCCAACATAACTAAACACCAAAGGTGCATGGAACACTGTTACCTTCCCACCAAAGGTGGTCCCTATTTTTCTATTTGCATTTTTTACGTCCTTTCGAACTGCTAGGTTGGCAGAAACTGGGACAAGTAACGGGAGCTCATCCCGTTATGTGGCACTGGGGATTTGAACCACTGAACTGCTGACCTTTTGATCGACAAGCTCAATGTCTTAGCCACTGAGCCACCACATCCCTTTTGGCATTACAGGATAGAAATTTATTTATTTATTTATTTATTAATCAAATTTCTATACCGCCCTACTCCCGAAGGACTCAGGGCGGTGAACAGCCAAGATAAAATACAGATAATACAAATATTAAAAAAATCCCTTAAAATTATTAAATATTTCAGCCGAAACACAGATTAAAACACCCAATTTATAAAATCACAAATTTAAAAATTTAAAAAATTTAAAAGATGGGAGTTAGGCCAGGCCAGCTTGCTGAAATAGAAAAGTTTTGAGAGCACGGCGAAACGTGCGCAGGTCCGGGATCTTCCATATCTCTGGGGGGAGCTCGTTCCAGATGGTAGGTGCCCCCACAGAGAAGGCTCTCCCCCTGGGGGCCGCCAGTCGACACTGTTTGGCCGACGGCACCCTGAGGAGCCCCTCTCTATGGGAGCGTACTGGTCGGTGAGAGGCCAAATCAAGACCATTCTGAAATATCTGTAAACTCCTGTTGGATCACATGTTCCAAAAAAAAATTAAATAAAGTAAGGTGAGCCTCCCTCAATCAAGATTGAGGTTGATACTTTTTAATTTAAAATGATGGGAGGTACAACTGGATCCCACCCTGCTGCTTTTTCCGAAAGGCCCTGAAAAACATGGTTTTGTCAGCAGGTCTGGGGATTACGAATGGATCAAGGGGTTGGTCTGATTGTGTTGTTGCTGACATTGGGGAAAGGGTGTGATGTATGGTTTTATGTTGTGAATTATTAATGTTATAAGCTGCCGATGGTTACCTATGTGTTAGCTGCACAATCATATAAATTTGTTTCATAAATAAATAAACAAATAAACAAATTTATTCAGAAACATGGGAATTAGGGATAGGCAGTGAAATGCCCATTCACTGATAATACCAAACTGTTTAGCATAGTATGATTCAAAAGAGATGGAAAAAAGTATTTTTGAACAGACTGAACCAATCTCAAACTCACAAATTTTATATCCAGGTGGAAAGAACTAGTACTGTGTATTTAAAGGAGGATTAAAACCAAAACCAAATGATATTCCTTTTTCTTCTCTCAGAAAATATTTACAAAATATTCAGTTGACCACAGGCTAACCTTTTTCTTGTGCTTCCCAGAGAGCCCTACAAATGGAACCAAAACATAAAAAATAGTAAAATTTCCAGTATAAATTTTTTTATTCTTATTTTATTTAAATTCCACCTTTATTCTTTTTATAAATAAGTCAAGGTGGCGAACATACACGATACTCCTTTTTCCCCTACAACAACCCTGGAGGTGGATTGGGCTGAAAGACAGTGACTGGGGCCCAAGGTCTAAGGAGGCACTAGAACTCATAGCCTCCTGGTTTCTGGTCTGATGCCTTAACCACTAGACCAAACCATTTTTAAGATTAATTCAAAATAGTTAAAAGACAGGCTAAAAATAGCCCCTTGAACATGACATAAAAACTGCAATTCCCAGTTGCAAAAAAAAGGGGGGGGGAGGGCCCTCTTATTATAATCAGGCATCCATTCTATTTCTGTTTCACTTTTCAGCCAAGATAGGGTACCAGGGTCCTTAACAATGATCTCTAAGGTAAGAAATTAACTGTAAAATAACACCAAGTTAAAGAAGACAGTGAACTAAGCAAGATGGTACAATTCATGAAGCTTGAATCATGAAGTACGAAATTCAGATTCAACTAAAACTTCCATTACACATGTCATTTAAATGCAATCCAAATTGGATGCTACCAACCACATGCTGGAAGAGATTATGGAAGAAAAGGCAAGGGGTGGAAGAGTGAATAGACATAAACAAGAGATAGAAGGTGAACCAGTTGAAAGCTTATCACATAAATGACACCTTAGCCCAGGTGAAATCAAGCAAGTGTTCAAAGGACTCAAGGTGACTCCACCTTGACTCCAATTAACTTACTGTAAAGGAGGGCTGGAAATTGCTATTACACTTTCCAAAACCCTGCATTTATACAGTGCCCCACTGTACTGTGAAAGATACCTTATTGAAATCTGTATTGTTCTTGATTCCTCAGCCTTTTCCAGTTATGTGGGGCTTAACAAATGAGGACACCTGAAAGAGGCAATAAACAGCACCACTTTCCCAAGGAAAATGCAGTATGCGTGCCGTTTCTTTAGGAACCGTTTCAATTCAGAACAATTAATCTGTAAAAAAAACCCTCCATTTCTCCTAGTATCTGAGTAGCTATAGGGTCAGAGAGGGCAAGATATGCCAAGGAAGCCCCAGTTTCCATTGCACCTTCAAATTAGTGTGTTGGGTTTAAGTTGTTGTTTGAAGGCTGCATTATGAGTAATAGGTTTCTGCTTTTTGCTGCTATTTACACATGATGTAAAGACAAAATGGCCATTATATGCTGCCCTTTATTTTGCTGCTTTATGTACAAGCTAGTTTTGTAAGCGGGTACATACAAGGGGAAGGGGAAAAAAATGGAAAGCCATTTCATTTATTGTCTATTATACAAGAGATCAGGGTAATTAAGGGAAGACTGTAAAGCTCCCATTTATAGGCCTGTTGCATGGCAGGGATGAATGAGTTATTTATTGCACCATTATGAGAATGTACATTAATGCTACTTTGTTGCTCCCAATCTCTTCACTGTTTCAAAGTGCAGTGAAAACTTTGAACCTCAAAGAGGAGCCTGAGTGGCGCAGCAGACTAATGCTACTGTTAAAGGTAGTATTTAGCTCCCAGCTGCCTGCAATTACTGCGAGTTCAATTCGCACCAGGCTCAAGGCTGACTCAGCCTTCCATTCTTTCTAAGGTAGGTAAAATGAGGACCCGGTTTGTGGGGGCAATAAGCTGACTTTGTATAAAATATACAAAAGTACGAAGGCTATTGCTTAACGCCTTGTAAGCTGCCCTGAGTCTCTGGAGAAGGGCGGCATATAAATCAAAATAAAAAAATAAAAAATAAAAAATGTAGAACTGCTCTAAATATGTTTGCTAACCTTGTGACTTGCCATTATTTATGACCTTATAAACCACTTCAATCAGGACAACCAAGGCAAACAAATATTGGTGCATGTCATAAAGAGAATTCCTTATATTTGTGTTGTGCGAAGAACAGAAGATGGATTTGTACTGAGACAATGTGGGCTCACATCCTTATGTGCAACAACCTAGAAACTAGAATGTGCCAATGCTGTGTCGTCTACAGATTTCTCACCACTGGTATAAAAGCATGAATTTCTGCAGATGTAGTCTTCCTCACTCTTAGTTGGGTAGGGGGAAGATGTCCATTAATATTTACAGCCACGATACAGGTATTGTCTTGCCCATTTCATTTGGTTACTATCAAAAAGCCTTTGGTCTGTTGCTCAACTGGTGGCAAAAAGAATAGCACGTTAAGAAAGAATAAGCCACACGGATAGCATGTCTTCCTAACTTCAAAGCTGGCAGTTAGCCAACAACAGTCTGTTGACCTGCAATAATCTACTGTTCAATACAGAAAAAAAAAAGAAAGAGTTGCTTCAATGTGTAAAACTGCAGAAAATTATCACATTGTGATGGAAGCAAATCATCTACCCATTAATTTAACCAAAAAACATGGCACTGAAAGCATATTCCACTGAGAATATTTCATGAAGAGAAGGTGTATATATCATTCTAAAGATAGAAATGCAAGTGGGAAGTTACTGTTAACTATTTTGCAAGGTAAAGAAATAACAACTGCACCCACATTTAGTTCATGTTTGTCTTAAGGAGATAAAAGAAACTGATCCCTGTTGTTTTTTTTAAACCTGATATTGATTGGCAAAAGTGAATTCTGCTAAAACACAA